TTTCATTTTTCTACACAAAATGAATATTACTCTAAAAAGTCAGATTTTTAGATTTTCTGAAAAAAAAAAGAAGTGGTGCTTGACTGTACAAAACAGGCCACCATAATGCTAGGATGGTTACTACAGGGTTGCTAGTGTGTTCACCCTGACAAGCCACATGATTTGAGGTATAATTTATGTCCACAGCCCTAACTACGAGTTTAATCCTTGGGGTTAAGGGTTTGAACAAACCCTTTTGATTAAGTGTGGACACTAACGAGACTTTGCATTCACAATCAAGAACAGTCCAGTCTGAACGTACAGGAGGTTTGATCCCCGTCAAGAATCTGCCAGTTACGAATCCTCCGGATCGCGGCTGAGGTTCATAGGGCTGAAAGCAGGGCAGGGACTTCCCAGAAGGCATCAGTGGCGGCCGGCGGCCCTCCAGCTCAATCTGACCCAATAAACAGGAGATCTGCACATACACAGGAACTTGGTTCAGAGGAAGATCACGGCTGAATAACATGCCATGCTAACATCTGCCATTACCTGACCCAATCATTGTCATAATTCATCAACAGTAGATCATTAACAATCACTTGGCATAAAAGTGCTGTAGTGATGGGAGAAACAAAGCTTTTCAAAACACACAAAAGATTTTGAACCTTAACAAAGCCGTTTTGAAAGCGGCCATCATTGATTGCGGACTGCAACAGCTCCGCAATTTGACTTGATAATTTGACAAATTTTATTAATAATATCATCAACTTTGGAATTTAACATTATCACATTCATGATTTTCTGTTCCCAAATTTAAGACCACCTAAAATGAAATTTAAAACTTGTGTAATACCATTTAAGACTTAAAATCAGTTTGATCAAATTTAATATCTTAAGACTTTTTAAAGACACACAGGAACACTGTAAAAGTAATAAAAATAAAAAACGCTGCTGTATTCAGATAATGAAGGAAACGTTACCTGCATAGTATTTACAGTTGAACCCTTGGCTCCTGACTGCACCATCAGCTGAAGGTTGTTTTCTGGGAAGGAGCGGTGGAGACCCAGCGGCATGCACACCTGATTACAACAGATCACAAGAGATGAAACCCATCGAGACATAAAGAGAGATTATGATTCCACAGCGGGAAACAAAATAAACACTTTAAACACAAGCTCTGCAATTTCAAGATGTCCCGTTTATAGACGTGCACCTTGTTGATGTTGTTGTTCACTTGATTGACCTCCTCTTTAAACTTCAGGTCCACCATGTTGAAATCTCTCTGGTCTGTGTTCAGATGTGCGTCTTGCCAGCGTTCTCTGGCTTCAGTGTCACCAGCAGCTGCAAGGAGGTTAAACGCAGCCTGGAGAGCCTGTTTTCATGCAAGAAAGTAAAAGAATATGAATCTCTGGTTTAAGACAAGACAAGCACAATGTTGAACGAACACACAAATAAATGAAGGGGCGAGACAAAAAACATCCAGAGGGCAAAAGATCCACAGAAATAGAGAGTGGGAGTATGTGACTGTAAGATTACTGCAAATATTATGCTTCAATATTAATAATAAAAAAAGTTATCATCAAACTATGACAATCTTTGTCATAACTTCGAAATAAATACCAAAATGTATATTTTATATGCATGGAATCTAGGACAGTTGCGCAGCAGGATGCACAGATCACTTCAGTTCATGTTTCAACTCAAAGATGAGTAGACTTTTACTGTAGTAAAGTTTCAAAGATTTGCGTACTTGATAAGCAATAGAGAAATTTACATAAGCGAGCTTAAAGACCTAACATTAAAAAGTGAATAATTTTATTGTTACTTACTACTGAAGTGAAATTATTATTATTATTTTTTATCAATTCAATAAAAACAAAAAAAAATACACTTTTATTGTTCCTGATCAAAAATGAACACAAACACTATTACTATTTGTAATATTACTTTCACTAAACCAAGTAATTTTTCTTAATGAGACTTTAGCAACTTTAGCTCTGTCCTTCCTGTTAATTTTCTTGCCATATGTAAATAATCATGTTATAATTAATAAACTTTACCAATAATTCATCCATTAAAGCTTGATCACAGCATATTTCTGAAAGTCTGGTATATCGTTTAAAATAAACTCCTCCTTAAATGACAGCACAAGCATTAAGCATTTTTTTTCAGAAAGCTACACGGTTCAAACGGTCCTATGAAACAGGAATGAGCTGGTCAATTTCAGTGATTTACCTTGGAGCCACATGTGACTGACTTTTGGATAATTTTCCTTCTCTGTTTGTTGGCTCCATCTTTTACTAGAATGTCTTCCACACCTGTCAGAAAAAAAATACAGTTTAATACAAAATACCACTCTACCTTGTTTGTTCAACAAGATAAGCTGGTATTGATGTGTGATCTTACCCAAGGTGAAACCGCGGTAAAGCTGCAGGTAGGCAGTGAAGAGCCGTGCCAGACAGCTGAGCAGTTTGCCGCTGGTCTCTCCTCCGTAGAGCTCGTAGCAGCAGTGGACCAAACCGTACGCTGAGCTGCCATAGTGAGCTTTATCTAGAACTCCCAGCAAGAGCTCTCCCTGACGAATGACCACCTGAAAAACACAGTACATTACATTACTAGGGTTGGGTACCGAAACCCGGTACCAATATGGCATACCCATGTAAGAACCGAATCAGAACGCAGATTTCGGTGCCATGCCTGAGCCATCGATTGAAATATTTGTCCTCTGGTTCTCCGAAACGGACGTAAGAAGCATCATTACCGGCACCTCACATGAAAAATAATTTCCCGACTGAGAAAATGCAGGTGAACTCAAGTCGGAAAACTCTAATAATACAAATCCAACACATCTTTGTAGTAACGCAAGTGTCCATGTTGTTTCCACATTCCGACTTAAAAGCACAACTCGGGAAATGAGAGCATCCGAGGAGCGCGTGAATGCAGTAATTACACTTGCTCTGATGGCAGCAGGTAGCCTTCTGTTAACTAAGCTAAACATGCTTAAATTAAAATGCCTAAAGCTAAACTTCCCTTGTATTCACATTTCTAAACCTGTTGTCCAACAAAAGAGAACATTATAACCGTTTTACTCCACAACACCAGTCAAATGCTTCCTTTTGTGATCTGATGTGGCTTCTTGTCACAGAATGAGGCAGAAAATATGTTCCATAGGCTACTTTAAAAAAATACATCGATTAGCAATGGATTATAAATATACTTAATTATTATTAAAATACCAGAGATGGCTTTAATAACACAGATAAACTATATTGTCGCAGTAGATTGTTTATTGTCTTTGTTTTATCATTCAAAACAAATGTATGTTCCGTTTACTCAGTTACAGCTATAATAGCGATGCCTTTGTCCATATAAGGGACTTTCTGGAGGGTCATGAGTTTCTCTACTTCTGTGACTGGATATTAGGGGTGCTCCGATTGATCGGCTACCGATCACCATCGGCCGATAATCACGTTGGGATGATTGATCGGCAGTCTCTAAAAAGGCCGATCTCAAAAAACGATCTCAAACTGATGATGCTGCTGTGAGAGGTTTGGCACGACATGCAGCGTCACCGTCTCAGTCCGGTGCGGGTAAAATAATTATAATGCTGAAGGTGAGGTACTCACCTTTATATTTATTCATTAAATAACTTATAAAGTAATTTGAAAACCTTGTGTGAAACGTAATTTCACAAACAGCGTGAGTGAATCACCGCACACGCTCTCTCTTTCTCTCTCAAAATACGCAAAT